TAGGTAGGTAGGTAGGTAGGTAGATAGAATCATAGGTAAATATATAAATAGATCGATAGGTAGATAGATAGATAGATCGATAGATAGGTAGGTAGATAGATAGATAAATGAGCCGCACTTTAAGCGGCTGCAAATGACCAGCTGAATGTCTGGGTGGCGGACACTTGGCATCCTCTGCATCCAAGCAAACCACCACGTCCTCCCTTGGACCAAAAAGGGGCACTCAAGTAACGCAAAGGATGATCAAACGTAACATGATGTTTCCATAGGTTGTGCCCTAATCTGCACACAAAAAAAAAGAAGAAAAGGGAATGGCATACCCTTGATACCAAAATGGGGATGAGTGCAACTGATAAGCCAAGTTTCTGCGATTTACCTGAGAAGTAGGCTTCAGAACCCACATGATGGTAGATTGGCAGCGGCGGAACGTGCACCACCGGATCACGGCCACGTGTAATCCGATACAAAGGCACAGTCCGGTTGAACATCTTTGCCTCGAAGTCGGGCACATCAGAAACCACTTGGAAGGAAATGACCCGCATGCTCTGTGGAAATGCTGGGCCGCAATTGGGTCAGAAAAACTGTTTGTTCGCAGTGTATGCATTGAGCATTGGATCAAATTGGGATGTCAAATGATGTCACCTATCTTTTTTCAGGGTTTGGGCCTTTCCACATCTTTGGGCATCCTAAGCAGGAAACCTATATAAAGCCCGCAGGGTGCCAACAAGGTGCTTGTGTTCCTGTTCTCTTTCCAGAATGACAATGCTGGTTTGCTATTCCCAAGTATACGTGTGGGGATCTTGTCATTTGGCTGAGAAAGCATGGGTATCGATGAAATCGCCCATACATGGAGGCAAAACGGCTCCGAACTCTTTGCCAAGCTCTTCCCATGATCAAGGTCAAGCTGAGTGGATCCTCCATGTGGCCAAAGCGGCTCTCAGATTCATGCCAAGCTCTGACAACTCTCTACGGATCTTCCCATCTCACTGGACTTCTCACTGGCTGCAATGCAAGTCTTAGGGGTAGACTCCCCTATCGTTTTTTCGAGGCACACACAGAAGACACCATGCGCAGCAAACATCCCAATTACACCTATATACATGACTATAGTTGGAAGTTTGTCTCTCACTCACAGACGAACTGCTCCAAACATTCTGGTTCGGGTGCTTGCACAAGTTGCAAATGCATCATGATATGCATCATTTCCAACCCGTGGGGAAGCAAAGTTGTAGGAGAGGCCGACGCTGTAGCCACGAAGTTGCCTGACACTAATATGCTGTTGAGGGCGGGCATAGGTGGTAAAAGCACCCATACTAGTAGAACATAGTAATAGTAGAACATAGTAGAACGATGCAAAAGGTATCTTCTTCCCTAGCTCCCAACTCCCAACTTGAAACTGCAACTTCACTCCAGTCTGGCAACGTGCACCGAAAGTACTTGAAGTGGGGCTGAGACAGCTTGGGAGGTTGATCTGGTTTGTGTCGTTGGTTGTCATGTGTGTGGCTCGGCATGGCTCGGCAACGATACCGCATATGATATAATATTGCTTCACTTGTTTAGGTTCAAGATGAACCTGTGCTTGTCGGAGTTCATCAGCTGGCCGGTACCATGGACCCTTCCCTTCTTCGCCACGGCACAGCATGTACATAGCAAGGGTGGCCACTGCTGCGCCCAAAGAATGCCCAGTGAGTACAATAGTACCCTGACTGGTGCCTGGACAAAACCCACTGACTTCGGCTCTGCAATTGTTGAACAAATTGATACAAATTGTCTGAACACAATGCCAAGCCCTCACTCAAGGCATTGCCTGGAATGCAGCCATTGTCGACGAGAACACGCCTTGCAAACATTCACGTGTGGCAAGAAACAACACTTACTGCAATGCCACTGTCTCAATCCAACAGCACAAGGCTACAGCATGTCGCAGCCATACATTGATCGTCTGCCGGGCAAGTAGCTCCACTTTGCTCTCAATGCCAGTCCATACTCGCCAAAAGCCATCAAAGACTTGGCAACCCTCACAGTCCTGGAAAAAGATGGAATCTGAATCCAGGAATCAATGTTTCTTGTTTCCACCCGTTCTGCGTTTCTTCTATGCTGTTCTACTTGAGAGATTTTCTGAACAACATTGCAGCAAATTCCGCCTCATGTGGCAAGGCGTCACTCCAGAAGAAGGCGTCGTGCAGTGCATTCGTGAACGTTTTGGAACCTTGAGTTGCAGCTGTTCAAACGTCGAATTTATCTCTTCGTTTATCTTCGTTAGCAACAGCCCCAATGGGTTCTCATGTGACTTCACTGAGACGAGGAAGGATTCGTCAAGCAGTAAAACCCACATGCGGGAAGACTCAAATACAGATTTTGCAGTACAGTGCACGGAAGCAAGTAGATAGAACCGCTCAGATTCTGTCTTCGGTTCGGCTGGGTTTCAGAAGTGTTAGTTAGTGACAATGCATGCCAAAAAGCCACGAATTGCAAGCACACAACCAAAATCATTGGAAGTTGGTGTTGGCACTGTGGGTGACAACGCTGTGCAAACATGGTGCTGGTCACTCGCCTCAGCTTTGCAACACATGCTACATGTGGTGCTCCAGATTGTGCTCCGCATCCACTAATGCTCTTGGCCAAGCTATTGAAAGCTGTAGCAGTCTGCTCAAATGCACTGACACAAACCCTGGTAAACAGCTGCTAATGAAGTTTGTCTAAGACCGCGGCATTCTTGGCACCACGACATTCGATGGGGTCAAACTCATAGCCGGCCCTGAACAGCACATGACGGATGTTGGGGCACTGGAATTCTACGGGCCACAGTTTAGACACACTGAGATACACTGATGAACCAAGTCAGCAAAAATATTCTCTCATGTCTCCTGACCATGCAGGCATGGCCAACACATACAAACCACACATAAACCTGAGTAAGTTCAGCGCCTGGCAAGTGCAAAAATACATTTGACGGGTCACATTGGCCTAACCAGACAAGCGGCTTGCAGCACGCATTCCCGGCGCCACACCAATCGCAAAAGCCACCAGCCTGCCAAAGAAGAATTTAACTTTGCTGCATGCAGCACCTGCACTCGTCATTTGCGGGTCAGCCTTCCCGCAGTAGATCCAGCAGTCTTCATGTTCATGCTGCACCGGGATGTGTCTTGCCTGCATAATTGCTGCATCCCTTCGTGTCCATGGAAAAAGGACTGGCTAATTCTTGCCAACTGTCGCTCTCAGCCGTGGTGCTGGCGATGGGACTTCAACGCACTCCTGGGTGCTTGACATCAACGACGAAGTAAACCAAACGACCAGCTTTCCCTTTTGTCTTGCAAAGCTGTCCCGTTCAAAAGCCGCGTCATGTTCAACTTCCCGACTTGGTGAGAAGGAAGCTTAACTTGCAGCTCAGCCTCATGATGCTCAACACCGCTAAACGTGGCGTTGAAGCACTCAGCAGGATCACTAGCCTTCATGGACGCTGCCGCTAAAACTGCTGAGAGCCCTACTAGGCCCTTACATGATTCACAGTCGTCTCCTCTCAAAAAGCTTCAGTGCTGAAGGGGTCTTTGAACATGCCTGCAGTTTGACGATTGTTTACGTGTTTGTGCCTGTTCCTGTTGAATGTAGATAGTTGGCACATCAGCTCTCTTTGGGCGACTTTACAGGCACTGATGCAGCAAAAGTTTTGTATAGTTTTGTCTGAGTTTTGTATACTGCCCGCGCTCGCTTTTGCTGCTTGCTTTCGTTGTGGGGGTGGGGGGCCTGGGGACAGTGACGTTCTTGTCTTCAATTGTGCTGCTGCTATCTGATAAGTTTTGATTGACATGGAGCAAGTTGTCCAGAATTTTGCACACAGCATGATTTCGATTGATTTTCACATGCCTTTAAATTTTGGCTTGGGGGACATGACGGGGACACCTTTCGAGGTTTGTTTGTGTTCGTCGTTGATTCCTTTTGTTACGTTTGTCTGGCTTGAGGTGTCGTTTTGGGGGGACTTCTTCGTGGCAAATCCCTTTTGCTTAGAAATCAACCCCAACATGTGGAAAAACATTCTTGGCGAAAGCTTGAGCAAAAGCCTCGCATGATCACAAATGCCTGAGGAGAAAAGCCGCGCTTGAAATCGCATTGTCGCGGGTCCTCTTTAAAATGAACCGCATTGCGGAACAGCGCCTAGGAGCAAGGACGCTACTACGTAGGGCCTAGGGGCTCCTGGCCTTACTACTAGGAGCAAGGACGCTACTAACAATTGGAAGGATCGAAAGCTGGGTGGCCCACGCGCATTAATCAGCTTGAAAGAAGCACGGCTGTGGAAACAAACCGCTCACAACCGCATGTGCGGAAACGAGCCCGGCGTGTCGTTTATGTACGTATTGTATATATACACACATGTCACATATGAATGTGGTAATCCTATACAGCCAATACCCATACGCTTTGCGGACAATACATTCCAAAAAAAGGTGATCACTTCCAAACCAGTCGTCAGTTCTCTGTTCTTGTGGCTAAACATGTGCCAAGTTGTCCGGTGTACAACAGTGTCACGTGCCAACCGCCTTAGCCTTTCAGGAGAAACAGTAAGCACAATGAATCTCGTGCCTCACCCTGGCGGCAGCATGCGTTCCCCACACCGCACCAAGCACAGAAGCCTCCTCTTTTGGCACAGTGTCCGTAGCAATCCTTGGGCATAATAAACTCTCGCATGCATGTGTTTAAAGTCAATACCAAAAACTCATGAACTTGCATGTTGTCAATTGTTTAACATCGAGACATTGCACCCCCATTCAAGTAATTAAGTGGGTTCTGCTGTGATATCCCAGCAGTAAAGACACATTTGATCACATTTGCATGTACTTGAATGTCGGATCATTCCCATTCACTTCTATGCAGCCACGTGTCTTCTTTGGGGTTCTTCAATGACTCTCTAGGCCGAGCAGGTGGCCAAGCGTGTTGACTGTGCTCGCCCTCAAGCCATTTCATCCGCGCAGCAAAAATGAAGGTAGAGTCAGCTTCTCCAAGTTCGGCCTCCATACAGGGTCTAAAGAAGGATAATGAAGGGCCAGGAATGTACCGCAACATACCCGAACTGGATTCGCGTGAGGGAAAGTGATGAGCTTCTGCGGAACACCAATTGCATGCATCATCATACAGTGTGATGCAGTTCTCTCTCCAACCATACCCAACACATCTGCCAGCAGCGGTTAGTCGCACCACTTCAATGCATCTTACCCGTGTTCGAGCCTGGCGGACCAGCCGGGTTGTCCCAGCTGAGAGGGTAAACCCCACGGAATGGCATGCGCTACAAGTCCAGTTCCTCAACGTCTCGTCTGCACCACCTCGAAAGCATGGCAGGCCGCAGACCGTTGCTGCAAAATGGGATCCGAACATGCAATTTCAGCATCTCTGTCGCCGGCCGCAAACAAACAACAATGACTGACCAAGAAGCAAAATGCGGCTTGACTTAAGGCAGCAAATGCACGTGCCATCGGCAAGCTGAAGCGCTCTGACGAGGGTACCTAGAACTTTTCAGGGAAGCTGCGAACTTCACCCCCCTTCTCTGTATCTCTCCTCTCTCTCTCTCTCTCGCGCTCCATCCTCTTTATATAAGTATATAATTCTTTGATATTCTTTGCCACCCATCATTTCCCTGCCTGATTTAAGGTCTCATGTTGCCGCCTCACCTTTTGCTGCAGCAGCTGCACTCTCAATGCATCTGCCTCTGACCTGAGAATGCTTGTGGTACGTCTGAGTGTAGTTAAGTGGCTTCATGATGTCACATGATGTCCAGGATTCTGACTCTTCCACTCTTTCCAACTCATCGCAGTCTAGCTCGCCATGGCACCTTGGAGTCAATGTACAGTACTTCTTGGAGTCATGTACTTAAAATGGTAGGAGCAAGGACGCTACTAGGTCTTCCAACTTATGACGCTGTGGCTAGGCTGCCGGCGATGAGAGTAGCAAAGCTGCCAGTAACACATAGCATCGCATCGCCACAAGCAAATGCATATATTGCTCATACGTATATATGTAAGTAGATGAAGCACAAATCAAACTGCATTAGCTTTTCTATGCATGCCTATATGATACCTGGCATGTTGACAAATGATTATTAGCGATCACATCCATTGCATGGAATTGGTGTTGATTATACGAAGTCTTTGCCGAGATTAGATCCCTAGATCACGGAACAAGTATATACAACTATATAGTAAAGCAACTTGGAATGGAAAACAAAGCAACTCCTAAATCTGGCCAAGTGGGTTTTCTTGGCCTTGAAAGCCGAAAGCGGCCTGCGGCTCTGGAATTCGGTCACCACTCCCTCGCGGTCACAGCATTCGATTTGTGTGTCGCGTCCACTTTGAAATGATACGATGTTGCCAAACACGCTGCCGGTAGCCAGCCACAATTGGCTGCAAGACGGCAAAAGCGCTTTCTTCTGACGTCTTGCGTTGCAATGGAGAGCCGAATGTGACTGCAAGGCCAAGGGCCAGGCTGAGAACACGAGTTGAGCGTTTCGTGATGGACAACTTGCCTTGCTTGAAAAACATTGAAGCACACTGTCTGTGGAAAGCAATGTGCAGCAGCTGTGCAAAGGTTCGCAAAGCTGCCCAGAATGTGGAGCCTGTGGAAGAGATTGTGCAAAACATGTTTTGGCAAGACGCGTAGTGCCGAAGCCGTTCATGGTGTGATCTGCCTGATCGTAATTCTTCACACAACTACTTGCCCTCAGTCTTCAAACAAGCTCACCAGGACCCATGAAACATATATATATATATACAAGAGCCTGAGAATAGTGACAACAACACAAGCCAAATAGAATATGTTTCGGAAACATAGTGCAAGTAGATCAAGTAGAGCTTTGGTTGCTGAACTTCTTAGGGAGAGCCTTGCATGAGCTCAGTGTCATGAAGCCACTTTACATTCTGTCGTCACTGCTGGAAATGCTCTTGGCCTTATCTCTTCGGCAAACAGTGTGCCAACCTTGGTTAAGGTTCTGGTGTGGAACGAATGAGGCCATAATTGCTGAAGTGTTTGTTCACAATTGTTCTTGGCAGTGGACGTTGGCTGCAAAACGCGCTGACTAATGCAGTCGACTGGCCCAATGACACAAAGTTTCCAGACACTGACGCTGAAGTGACTTCTGCAGCTTCCTGAGGTAAACGGTCAATATGCTAGTATATATATATATAATCATCATAGTATTAGAATGTATTAGAGCGCTAGTTGTCAGTAGCTAAACTGACTTGAACAGTTATCAACACTTCGTCATACGTCGTCTTGAATTTCAAGCCTACAGCTGCTCGGCCACTACTGTAATCCTGATCGGTCAAATTATTCCGCTAGCTCTTGGTCTCAGAAGCACGAGTAATGATCAAGATTCTGCAGGGAAAATCTTCAGAAGACCATGCATGGCGGTGTCCGATGAGATAGCATCATCGAAAGCCTCAAACACCTTTTCGCACAAAGCACCAATCACGCGCTTGCATCGGCAGCTTGGGCAACTCATCAAACGCGTGTCTGCTGCACACACGCGCCCGCACACATATATATATATATATTTGTACAATACACATGTAGCAATGAAGCCCATCCACAAGCACATTCTTCAATGTGAATATACTTGAGTTATGTTTGAATTATAGAACGTCTGAATCTTACAACTCATCCTTCCAATTTGACTTGGCAAACACCTTGTCGAAGCTTTTGAGTGTTGAATCATCAGCGAGCTTATCCATATTCTCGTTGGACAGGGCCTGCCAGAACCATGCATTGGTGCCCTGCAAGTTCACCAGCAGTTTTGATCTGTAGGGCAAGTATTCCGTGTTCAGACTTTAGTGAGCAAGGGTCCTGCACGTCAACCACTGCTTCCAAATCATTCCCGGGATCTTGATTCAGGGCCTTCAAACAGAACTATTTCGTGCGAAGCATGGACACGAAGAACTCTCAAACCTGCTGCTTCTGAGAAACTAGCTACAATTTGCACAAATGCGTGAGTGCTTCTTTTTCTCGCATCCAAGAGTTGCCTGCACCCCGACATGATGGACTCCGGGTTTGAACGGCCTCAACGTTGCAAGCTGCAAGTGCTCAACCGTGATACATCTTGCCCCCCCACTCTCACTGTCTCCCTCTCTCTCGCTCTCTCCTCCCTCCTGAAACGAGCACATGTCTGCAGCTCACAAGTTTCTTCAATAATTGACTGGGTTCTTGTGATGCACTCTGCCTGATGACCACTGCTGGCTTCGAATGCTTTGCTGGAATGCCCAAGGCTTTCCCCAAGGCATCTTCCGCTTTCTTGCGACACCTAACTGTTATGGCTGTGCAATGGCAAGCAAACTTGACTCACGCTGGATAACCGAGGTTGCAGCTGAAATATCAAGAAACTGAAAGGATGATCGTCAGGTCGCTTCTGAAAAATGATCCTGGCCGGGTGGCCTGCGTTGATGCACCAAATATATGATGTATGTATATAGTAGTTATATAATGTTATATAAGTTGTCAATGAAACTGAAGACTCGCGGTTGTGCAAAACCAAGGGATTGCTCTTCCAGTGTCCTCTTTTTGAGCACGCTCACCACCTACGGCAAGAAGTCAACACGCCTCCCTCCGAACCTTTAAACAGGCACACAAGCAGCCAAGAAAGTGCCTGAGTTTCCAAGTCTTTCATCTCAGGCATTGAGATGTTGTGCTTCGTCTGGAAAACCACCTCATGGTTGTGGGATTTCCTTAAGCTGAACTCATGAACTCTTCGTCTAAACAAACACACGGCCTCATCGGCAGCCGTGTTGATGGCACATTTGCCTGCACATCGTTGATACCTTGGATGTCCATGGATGCCCACCATAGTTCTACAGTCGTACACAATACTTCTGCAAACAAATCTACAGGCCTATGATGCATACATTAAAGTAAGTCATCACATGTTATCACCATAGCAGTTGCACTGAATCTGCAGCGCACAGGACTCCTTTTTATTGAATCCAGTGAAGCTGCCGTACTTTCCAGAAATTCCCAGTGATTCGGTCAAAACAGTCCTTCTCGCATCCTGCCGTGGAGCAAGTCGCATGAATTGGACCGAGGTGACCTTGACTTTTGCTCTTGAACTTTGCAAACTCACTACAGGGAGTCCTTCCATAGGTGGACCGGATGCGGGGATTGATGCCATCCCGTCTGCGACACACAATGACAAACACAAACACATCACATCATCAACTGCTCGAGAAAACACAGCTCCCCAATGCTTTGTCAATCTCAGAAATGACAGCGGATAAACTTAGAGAGCGGTGAGACGCTGCGCCTGACAGTGGGTGAGCTCCTCATCCCATGCAGTGCAAAGCAACGTCACATGAGGAGGTTCTAACTGAAACAGTTCCACATTTGTTACAGTATATATATATATTAATCTATGCAGATGCGGTTTCAACATGTTTGATCATGTCACTCTACATATCTACACCGGACTATCATGTGGCAACAATAATTAGGACCACTTCGTTGCAGCCACGTCTCGCTCGCATTGTGCCTTACACTGTTCGAAGGTCATGGTTGCCCGAAAGCCCGAGCTTGGACATTTCCGCAAACAGTTCCTCAAACAGTTCTGCAAATCTAGCAGGTAAGTTGCATAAAGTTGCATGTGGTCAAAAAGCGGATCTCTCCAAAGCTCCAGAAGGCAAGTTGAGGCAAGTTGCTCCAGAAGCTCCTTGGCATTGTCCTCCAAATCCGCAAAGCTTCGGAGGGCTACGGTAAAACAAGACCCGCGGCGATGTGCAAACTGTTCGGGAGATCATCAACAGCAACAACAAACTCGTCATTTGCAAATCCACCGACTCCATTGGCATGCTTGTTGGAGTTGTAGTACATCAAACCGTTAGAGTTAGAGTGTTTTATATATATAGTTGTATGGACCTGTATGGTTCTATGCTCCTTGAGTCTTCGATTGTGGGCTGGGCACTGTGCCATGCAAGCCTGATTCACCACGGCCATCCTTGGCAATAAACGCAAATCAAAAATGTATTTGACGATTGCTGTCATTGCCGTTCAAGAACACCCTCATGACCCTGCACTTCCCAGTTTTCGGGCAATTCCCTGAGTGAGAAACTCCACATCTGCTGGATGGGACACCTGGCATATATTTGCATCTTGGCTTCCTGCAGCCTCTCAACTAGAGTCATGTTTGATTCCACCGGCCCCTAAATATCCTAAATCAAAGAAGTGAACATGATCACGACATGGATTTCTAAGCGGTCAATTCCATGGAGCTCATTTTCTTCCAAGAAACTCAACAATTCAACACCCTTTTTATATAAATTGCCTTTAGTACATTTAGTTCCCAAATATCATCCAACATGCTACAGGTGCCCTCCGTTGTAGAAGGTGGTCGGGTGCACACAGGTCCACCGGCCAGTTGATGGATGCTCCGGTGTCCCGGTCGTGCTTTGATTGATCTCGATGCATTCTAATAGTTTCTTGTTACTAGTAGTAAGGCACTTGTTACTAGTAGCGATGCACTTGTTTCTACTAGCTTCTTGTTACTAGTAGTAAGGCACTTGTTACTAGTAGCGATGCACCTGTTACTACTAGCGATGCACTTGTTTCTACTAGCTTTTTGTTACTACTAGTAAGGCACTTGTTACTAGTAGCGATGCACTTGTTTCTACTAGCTTCTTGTTACTAGTAGTAAGGCACTTGTTACTAGTAGCGATGCACCTGTTTCTACTAGCTTCTTGTTACTACTAGTAAGGCACTTGTTACTACTAGCG